TTTTTTAGTTTGTTTAGGGGTCTTTAGGCATCTTGTTAAGGGATGAACTTCGAGCTACTTATCGAAGTTGTACAAACTTGTAATTGAAAGGACATGTGGATCTACGTACAAGTAGATCCATCGATACTTCAGTTTAAAAGTGTCTCAATTTACTAAAATCGAATCGTCGTTCATCCTAAGTTTATCATAAGATCAATACGTTTAATTATATGCATATAAGTTTATCATAAGTTAAATAAGTTTAATCATATGCATATAAGTTCATCATAAGTTAAATAAGTTTGATCATATACATATAAGTTCATCATAAGTTAGATAAATTTAATCATATGCATATGAGTTCATCACAAGTTAAATAATTTTAATCATATGCATATAACTTCATCATAAGTTGAATAAGTTTGATCATATGCATATGAGTTCATCATAAGTTAAATAAGTTTGATCATATGCATATAAGTTCATCATAAGTTAAATAAGTTTGATCATATACATATAAGTTTATCATAAGTTAAGTAAGTTTAATCATATGCATATGAGTTCATCATAAATTAAATAAAAAGGACATGTGGATCTACGTACAAGTAGATCCATCGATACTTCAGTTTAAAAGTGTCTCAATTTACTAAAATCGAATCGTCGTTCATCCTAAGTTTATCATAAGATCAATACGTTTAATTATATACATATAAGTTCATCATAAGTTAAATAAGTTTAATCATATGCATATGAGTTCATCATAAGTTAAATAAGTTTAATCATACACATGTAAAAAATGTCTATCATAATCCTATACGTGTCACAAGCTTCCTCCACTCTAAAATTTCGGAATAGTATAGTGATCGATAGCTATATCGGTAGTAGTGAAAGGGTTGGAATGCATTTCGTTGGTTAGGGTCTCACACGCGAAATTTTACGAGTAACCGGTGCAGCGAACCGAAAGGCTTGCGCAATATTTGAAAATCGAGACCGTTCCACGCAACTGCCGTTTTCCAAATGCAATATTGCAACAATAGATTCTAACGTTTCCCCAGCTAGTTTTGGTGGCGTAATTAATAATAAAGGAATGCAGATTACACGCTAACGTTTTGAAAGTGAACCACGGAATTTTGACTAATTGTACGCCTTCGAAACTCGAGGTTCAACGTCGTTAAACACAGCTTTTCACCGGGTTAAACAGCGTGCTGTCACCGTCGATCTATTATCGTTTCACGAATGTAATTATCGTGTGTTAAGAACTTTGTTACACCTCCGATGAGTGCTGTCTATGCGGTTGCTTGCACTCTGTCCCTCTGGCCTTTCACTGAACGGTGCATACGTTCTACATATATAAGGTGACCTTATATTAATTTCTCATAGCCTGTTTTTTCGCTGTTAAAATACGGACTGAAATTTTACAAAAATAAAAGGACAAAATTGTACAAAAATAAAAGGACAAAATTGTACAAAGATAAAAGGACAAAATTGTACAAAAATAAAAGAACAATATTATACAAAAATGAATGAACAGAATTATACATAAAATGAACGAATAAAATTATGCAAAAAATGATCGAATAAAATTATGCAAAAAAAATGAACAGAATTATATGAAAATAAAGGAACAAAATTATATAAAAATAAAAGGAGAAAATTATACAAAAATGAACGAATAAAATTATACAAAAAATAAACGAACAAAATTATACAAAAAATAAACGAACAAAATTATACAAAAAATAAACGAACAAAATTATATGAAAATAAAAGGACAAAATTATACAAAAATAAAAGAATAAAATTATACAAAAATGAACGAATAAAATTACACAAAAAAATAAACGAACAAAATTATACAAAAAAATAAAGGAACAAAATTATATGAAAATAAAGGAACAAAATTGTATGAAAATAAAGGAACAAAATTATACGAAAATAAAAGGACAAAATTTTACAAAAATAAACGAACAAAATTATACAAAAAATAAATTAACAAAATTATACGAAAATAAAAAGACAAAATTATACAAAAATAAACGAACAAAATTATACAAAAATAAATTACCAAAATTATACGAAAATAAATTAACAAATTTATACAAAAATAAACGAACAAAATTATACAAAAATAAATTACCAAAATTATACAAAAATAAATTACCAAATTTATACAAAAATAAATTACCAAAATTATACAAAACTAATCGAACAAAATTATACAAAAATAAACGAAGCAGTGTCAGAATATTATCTGAACGAATAAAATGTAAAGAAGAGTCATTCAGAGTCCCAAGTAGAGAATTTATAGCCATAAGAGCGAATACATAAAACGAGAAGGTAGCTCACCTTGTTAATACGATTTTACTCCCTGTTCCATCTAGGACTTCTAAGATATCGCCTGTAAAGTTTGACCCAGATTGCTCTTTGTGGCAGTCAACCTGTTAACTCTTTGCCAACCAGTCCGGTTGTGCTTGACCGGTCAAGCCTTAACTCGAAATTGCGCAAGTTGTTGAGTACAGATTGGCGATAAGAAAATTCGAGAATGTAAACCAGCCCAACGGGTGATTCTGAGTAGCGATGACAGCATTCCGAAGCGAACATTTCCACGAGGAGAGGAGTTTCTGCTATAAATCGAAAGCCTATTGACAGCCAGACGATGGGTTTCGCTCGTTTACCGATGCCGAAAATACGTGTCCTTGTATGGAGCGTAAAATGTCTGCGATTTGAAAATTCACCCACCACTCAGCTTTCACTTTCGTTTATGTTCTCGAAATTTCTTTATCGGTGACAGAGGAAAATTGTGGACCTGCAAGAAAAAGTAATTTACTTAGAACGATGGTTTTCGAATACTTTCTGTATTGAATATATTGTAACAATCTTGTGATGTATCTTATGCTGTATCTGGTGATGTATCTAGTGATGTATCTTCTGTTTGTGGTTTGTCAATTGAGTCGGCCACAAAGGAAAATTGTGGACCTGCAAGAAAAAGTAGTGTACTTAGAATGATGGTTTTTGGATATTTTTTGTATTGGATATATTGCAACAGTTTTGTGCTGTATCTTATACTGTATCTTATGCTGTATTTTATGCTGTGTCTTATGCTGCATCTTATGCTGCATCTTGTGATGTATCTGGTGATGTATCTTCTGTTTGTGGTTTATTAATTGAATCAGCAACAGAGGAAAATCGTGGACCTACAAGAAAAAGTAGTGTACTTAGAATGATGGTTTTTGGATATATTTTGTATTGGATATATTGCAACAGTTTTGTGCTGTATCTTATGCTGTATCTTATGTTGTATTTTATGCTGTATCTTATGTTGTATTTTATGCTGTATCTTATGCTGTATCTTATGCTGCATCTTGTGATGTATCTGGTGATGTATCTTCTATTTGTGGTTTATCAATTGAATTGTCAACAGAGGAAAATCGTGGACCTACAAGAAAAAGCAGTATACTTACAATGATGATTTTTGAATATTTTCTGTACTGGATATATTTTAACAATCTTGTTATGTACCTTGTGCTTGTGGTTTATCAATTGAATCGTCAACAGAGGAAAATCGTGAACCTACAAGAAAAAGTAGTATACTTACAATGATGGTTTTCGAATATTTTCTGTACTGTACGCTGCATCTTGTGATGTATCTGGTGATGTATCTTCTATTTGTGGTTTATCAATTGAATTGTCAACAGAGGAAAATCGTGGACCTACAAGAAGAAGTAGTATACTTACAATGATGATTATTAAATATTTTCTGTACTGGATATATTGTAACAATCTTGTGATGTACCTTGTGCTTGCGGTTTATCAATTGAATCGTCAACAGAGGAAAATCGTGGACCTACAAGAAGAAGTAGTATACTTACAATGATGATTATTAAATATTTTCTGTACTGGATATATTTTAACAATCTTGTGATGTACCTTGTGCTTGTGATTTATCAGTTGAATCGTCAACAGAGGAAAATCGTGAACCTACAAGAAAAAGCAGTATACTTACAATGATGATTTTTGAATATTTTCTGTACTGGATATATTGTAACAATCTTGTGATGTACCTTGTGCTTGCGGTTTATCAATTGAATCGCCAACAGAGGAAAATCGTGGACCTACAAGAAAAAGTAGTATACTCAGAATGATGGTTGTCGAATATTTTCTGTACTGGATATATTGTAACAATCTTGTGCTGTAGGGTATTAGAATATCTGATAAATAGCAGAGAAAACTGATCGTTTGCAAAAATTAGAACTGGAGGAAGTGTGCCGTGGTCTGTAGCTCCTCTCACGCATGACCTGGAAACCTCGTTGACTGTCGGAGATATCTTGCAGCAGACGAGAGGAAAAAAGTTGAAAGTAGGCTTATTATGTAATGATTTTGAGTAACCTCACGAGGTGAAATAACACGGTAACGTTCTGCCCTACACAGAATCTCTTGCTTCTGTAGTTGCAGCACCCGCGTGCAACGTCTTACGCTGCTCATTTGACAATTTTTAAATCTTCTAATTTTTCAACTTTCAAGCTTCTAAATTTATAAATCCTCAAAATTCTAATTTGTCACAATTCTTCTAATAATAATAAATTCTTTAAATAACCTCAACCAATTCCCAAATCTCAAGGTTCCCAAATTATCAGTCATTCCCTAATATAAAGCTTCTCAACCCCTTAATCCACCCTCAGATTTCCAAATCTCCAAAACTCATAAAATCCCAGAAATCGATCTTTAAAACCGATAGATGCGTTAATAGTCTTTATCAGTATCGATAACGATATCAACCCGATAAAGTTACATGCAACGATGACAAGCAGGTTTCGCAGATAAATTAGTAGCTCGCAAATTGTAACGATTTGCAATTAAGAAGAAATTATAAAGGTCACAAGTTTAACCGTGATTTGTCACAAATAGTGTATGATTTAAAATTGTAATGAGTATAAAATACGAATACAAGAAATGGTAAATAATTAGTCATCGGTCTTTCGTCGCTATTACTAAAATGATTTTCTACTTGTAATTGTTTGCAGAGGTTGAATGCGAGGTGTCGAGCCAGGTCGAGTACTCTCTGCAAGCGATCTGGGGTGTCAGTATAAGAGAGCTTCATCTGGCGCTTTGGAAACCTTGGAGCACCCTCAGAGATGCATCCTTGAATGGCACTCTTCTTCAAGGTCACGCACAATACCTTACGCCACCACAGACGTATCCTTTAACAGTACTAAAATTCCTCTTCGTTTCAGAATTTGACTGCTTAAAGTGTTAGATCACCTTTGAGGCTTAAAAATATTCAAATATTCTTTCTTCATTTTAAACGATTTCTTACAAGGTTACTAAATTTTTATTCACTGTTAAAATGAATATAAACAGTGAAAAATTTATCATATGTACTTTGTGTTATGAATAAAATATCTTCTCTTTAAAGATCGTTTCAAAATCTATAAACATTAAATGGTTCCTGCGCCGCCATTTTGTTTTCAAGTAGTCCAAAGCTCGAAGGTGTTCTGATCCTTTATTATCGTGATTTTCTGTGAAAACAATATCGAGAGGTTGTAGCATTCCTTGACTGAAAAATACAGTAGACAACCTCACGGAGAAGAAACGTTGAGACTGTCTCTCCCAGCTCCGGAATTGGAACTAGGAACTCCACCACGACTTTGTTATCCCCTGGTGATCTTCCTCACACGCAGGGATAACGGAGATCCTCATCCTGACGAAACTGTGGGTACCTCTCAGTATACAGAGAATCATAGAAATTAGATTTACTAAGCTAAATTTTATCGTCCCAATGAAGTCCGACGTCTGAGTTGCATATTTATATCCAAATAACACTCAAAACTTTTTTCAAGGAAAAAACGAGAATGAATAAACCTATAATCATTTTAAGATAAATGACTGCAGAGAACTTGTTTTTCTAGTCTCGCTTATCAGACAGTTAATCGTTTAAATTAGCTTATTGTAATGCAAGTAACGTGTGATCAGAAATGAAATGTAAAAGTCGATGTTCCATATCGAGTGTTTTGCTGCTCCTCTTTGTTAATAAAAATTCTTATAATTTTCTCAGGTGGCCCTGGTAAACGTGGTCCACATCAAAGACAGCGTGTGCACGTTGCCCACATCGATCCTCGCCCAGTACCTGAAACAAGCGAATGGTCAATTGTCATGTCTCAAGGTAAGTCCTCTTCAAAGATCAAAATACTATCCATTTCCCGTTCGCTAACCCAACGTTAATATTGCAGCAATTGTACCTGGCGACTGGCAACTCGACGAACTACGACGAAGGAGACGTGTCCTCAGGATTGGGTTCTGCCTTGGCCCTCGCGGAGCCTTGCAACAACAACGGGAGCTCCGCAAGGGGCGCTCTGGTCGCTTCCGGGACCGGTGATTCCGAAGGATCTCTGTGGAACACCGCTGGAGAACAACTTTGCGTCGTCTGTCAATATTTCCCTCTGTCTCGAGCTTTGCTACCTTGCAGACATACCTGCATTTGCGCGTCTTGTTTCGGGAAACTCGATCGATGCCCCATGTGCAGAAGCCCCATCAAGAGCTACTTCTGCATTAGGGGCGAAGAGTATATGCCTTTGGAGACGGAGATCAATCCTTGCAAGCAGAGGCAACCCAGCCACGGACCCACTCATTGGCTTCACGACTGGAACGATCGACTAACCGACTTCCTTGGTTTCGCGCGATAGGATACTCAGTATTCTCTGTCCTTTTGTCTGGAATCTGTTGTACAGCGTAGTACCGTGATACAGAGATAGAGAATGATCGGATGTATCTGATTAACAAGATCGTATTTTGGTATTCCTCTTTTTCTTTCATTGATCGAGAAAAGTATTCGATTCTTACGGTTAATCAGAGTCTGAGGGAAGATGTTTCTTTTGGTTAATACCCTTTTTTGAACGAGATTTCTAACTGCCTCTTCGTCGATTATGTAACGCTATGACCGAGCTGCGCCTCAGGTGAAAATGTATAAATTTAGAAATTTGTGGATTTACGGATTTACAAATTGTTAAATTATTCGTCACGCTTATTAGGAGTGAAACTTTTGTACGCGAATGCGAAGTGAATATCTTAGGAAACAATATAATTTTGTGAAGGTTATCGCATTTCTACTGCCATTCGTTTACAAAAGTTTTGCTGGAAAAATCTCGTTCATAGCATTGTATAAACGAAGTGTTTCGTACAAAAACAGTTCAGAAAATGATTACAAACGAGAATGAAAAATATGGAAAAGAGTAGTAGGGCATTAATTTATGAGCGACGAAGAAAAGATAAAGGAACACGTAAAAAACAAAATCTTGAGAAAATGTGAAATTTGATGCAGTGCCAAATAAGCTGAATGTGAATCGCAATTTTCGTCGAGATTTTGTTAAAAATGATAAGTTGAGTTTCGTTTCTGTAATTGATCGAAGATCGTAGAATTAGGATCGCATCACATTGACATTGTAAGTTTCTTTTCTCCTTTATACGATCGTCTTTCGACTCTGCTTTATAAAGTGAACTCGAAACGCGAGAGATCAGTACATAAATACTTTGTTGGACAGAAAATATCTTCAGCTATGAAGAATGGAAAGAATAAAATAGAAAATTTACTAATGTCCACGTGAACGAGGAGGGAGAGCGTTTGACAAAAAGAAAAGAAGGGATCTAATTGTAAAGACAGAGTAACGTTTCAGATTTTTATCGCGTAACGTTGTATAAATACTTAAGATGTAAATACAAGATAAAACTAAGAAGACATGTCCAACTTTAAGATGTAACTAATAATTAAGTTATTGATATTATTTCATACGATACGCAGGTTTATTCGATAGGTATTAGAAACATTAGCTCCGAATATGCATGCCTTTAAGAGTATTCTTTCTCTGTTTTCTTTTTTCTATCTATATGTATTGATATACAAAAAGAAGAGAAGAAAAGGTAATTTTTTTTCTCTCGCAATGCTCTGCCGTCCATGCGCAGCGATGGAGCTAATTTCCCTACAGTTCTTGTTAGAACAGCGCTACCATGAGAGAACGTTGCTAAAATAATTTAACAAGGATGTTGCGTTAACGTTTAAACTGTAAATACACAGACTGTGATAATTCTAATAACATCTATTATATAAACCGGATACATGAGAGAAGGTGTCTTAAATTTTCTGACACTACAGAGAAAGGAATTGGAGCGGCAGGAAGTGAAACATGAAATCGTTTTCAGATCATTGTTTTTTATCTATTAGGCACCTTACATACAAAAGAAAAAAGAATAAAAAGTGACGACATTCTCTTGCGTGGAGTTTGTAATAAAATCTGAATTTTATTAATGTTCAGATAATAATATTTGTGCAATGTTTGTATGATTCGTTAATTGCCGATATCTTGACATTTGCAAGAGTAAGCAACTTGAGTAGCTCTGAGAGAAAGGCTACAGAATGATGTTTTAAATATTGTTATACAATAATGTGCTATTGCAAACTCCAGTGTGCAAAAGTATGGGAGTGTCTGGACCTATACATGTTAATTGAAGAGTAAAGGCCTCTAAAGTCAATGTTATTGTAGTCGAAGATCTTAACATCCTAATTTATATTTTATTTAGTAAATATGGCATTTTGATGATGTGACAATGCCTGTATGTGAGAACAACCTGTATATAATTTATTTAATAAAGATTATTCATTCTGTCAGGGATGCGATTCATTTCAACACAATTCAATTTAATTTGGCCTGAGATAATTCGATTCGCCATACTGTGCATTCGATTCGTTCATTTGCACATTTCTCTCTTCAGTTTAAACGCACTTCTACATACGCTCGATATAAAATATCAATATCTTTTAATTAACAACTAATTAAAACAGCAACGGGATATGACTATTTATATTTAAAATACTTTTCTTTGTGCATATATACGTAGATAATGATGAGAATTCTATAGATCGGTAACTTTCGGCAAATCTCGGCTTTCTTCGGATTTGCTCGGGTTTCTCGCTTATATAGCATAATTCACTATAGTAGTGGCCGTTTGATCACGTTGACATTCAGTTTCATATTTCCTAAATTCAAATTTTTTTATTAAACGTCATTTGAGACTCCTTGAAAAGATAGTAATATTTATTTGGTCTTCTTCGAAATGTATTGAACAATGTAACGGGACATGATCGTTTTATAATGGTTTTATAAACGGATTCAAAGCAGAAAGAAGGACGCAGATCTACGTGCTTTGTGAGAATTGATACGAACTTTACGTTCTTATAAACCGGTACGTATCTGTTACCCTTTGTTCAGCCACGGAATTAATTGCTTACATTCACCAGGAATTTTACCGTTGTCGTTGCTTCAATTTGAACAGTACAATATACAAATAGCCTCGATGTCCTTTTCAGGCACATGTAAACTCATCGATCAAAAGGGAATGTTTGTTTTGCTTCTCTCTGCCTTTGAGTTTCAAGCCATCGCGAAGGTTAGACCGAACGACAGTACGATCACTTGACGACCAGGTAAGTCTACATGTCTGATTCATTCATTTGATAATATATTATTTAATATATAAATCGAATTTATAAAACTTGTTTGAAACAATACTTAATTATCAATCAGTTTAACCGTATTAAAGAAATACACTTTAAAAAGAAGGTTGATAATTGTTTGATAAACTTTGTCCTTGCATTGAATTTCGGTTAATCAAATTATGTATTTTTTGAATATTCAAGAAACATCTAAAGAATATTTGCAGAAAGTGTATTTTTTGTAAAACATATTTAGTTGTTGCAAACTATTATTTTCAGATTTTACATTATATACACTTGAATTAAACAATGGCTGGCAGTGGAGAACTTTGGGTACAGTGTTTCACCTGCTGTCTAACGCAACAAGGACCAAGAACACGTAATGGAAGACAGAGATCACATCAAAGGCTAAGGATAGATCGCAGTATGATAGGTGTACCTACAAACTTTAGACATACTGGGCATATTAGCAGTGGAGATGTTGATATGAGCAGTGCACAATTGTCAAATATTCAGGCACAAATGCAAATGAAAGGAGGCTATGACTATGCATGTACTGCTAAGGTATATATAATAATTGTTATTCAAATTACAATGCTTATTTAATAATTATATTCTTGCATAAATTATTTTTATTTCAGGCATGTTGAAAATAGTTATAAAGTATTTTTAGACTGGCCTGCGAACAATCATGCAACAGGACTAAAAGAACGACTGAGTTTTTAATGTTTACAAATATTTGTGTTCCTTAATACAAACTATATATGCAGATATTTAAAAACTTATTTAGGAAACATTTTGAATATATTTAATGATCAGACAAAACCAAGTTTTAAAACACTGTTATTCATAAAAGTATGTTGAATATACCACAATGAAAATTATAGTCTATGCAAAAACAATTTTACAATCAATATTGAAGTTATAGTTACAAGGTGCATCTAACTTTCCACGCATTGTTTAGATCTGTATTTTCATAGAAAGACTGGATACTTAATAGAAACAGACACTGCCATATAACGTGTAACATTTTACTGGTGCATTTTTTCTTATATAATATATACAATTATTCTTCCAGTTTAAAAAATGAATGTTTATTGACATATATGGTACCATACTAACATATTAATTGTTATATTACACGTTAATCGTATTTACTTGTTTTTTCTTATATGGGAACGACTTTTTGCAGTACTAGATTTATCCTTAATAAGTATTAGATAATGTTTTTATACTTCCAAGTGAGAATGTTAGTAGTACTTCATGTTAGTAGTACTCGTGTAAAAAGAAGAAATGAAAGGATGTATTTTGCATAGTTCACCTGTGCTGATTAATGGATAAATATTTTAGCGTATATACGGTGAACGCCCACGTTCACAAAGCACGGCCCATTTTTCCTATTTCTGTATCCACCCCTGAATAGGGTGTATAAACCTACATTAGGTAACTTTTGGAATGTAGATGTCTCAAAAAAAAATTGAGGGAATGAAAAAATAATTTATACGTATTCACCTAGTCTATAACCATTCTATTAAACCTCGTGAATTATGCTAGCTATTGTTTGCTATACTTTAAACGTGTAAATTGTGATCTCTTAGAGATGTGGTCAAGAACCAGTGAAAAAAAATGAAAAGAGGCAGTGAAATCTACAGTTTTTTAAAAAATCTAATTAGTATAGAAAATTTATTCGGAAACAATATAAATTAATAAATTTAATGTAACGCATGAATGTAACCTTGTTTCAATAGATTTTTAATCCCTTGTAGATTGTATTTTATTTACACTTTCAAAATTTCGGCAGAAATGTAAAGATTAATGCATAATTAACCATAAAAGCATGTCAAAACAAGAACTATGATATAGCTGTAAGCATTGTATTTAACATGTAAGAATAAATTTTTGTGTAAGAATAAATTTTGAAATTATGAAATTTGCATTTCATTTACCTTGACTATTTTATTCTATAAAGAAGTATTTATTATTGTTGAAAACAGTTATAAAAAAGAAATGATGATCTTAAGTTAAAAATCAGAATGTTGATCTTAGTGACTATAACATATCACATAGTTATCCCATGATACAAATCTGTGTCAGTTTTAGACTCTCTTCATCCTTACTATCACAATTATCAAAAACTCGTAACAATTAAAGAAGAAATATATGCTTTAAAAAACCACTTTATACATATACACATAATATACATAAATTGTATTTTTTAAAATAGAGTTTATGTATATTAATAACGACGCTGTTATTTTATAATTTAAATATCCATCGATCATGGATCATCATTTCAAAGTTTAATAATCCCAGCTAAGCTGGTAAATTATCTCGTATAAAACTATGTTTCTTATATCCCTATATATACATATACATATATTAAAAGCTAGATAACCGAGACTGAGGAAGGAATGTGGCATAATATTTAGACTCCAATCTATGGAACATTTCTGGTGACTGATTTCGGCCAACAAAGAATATGCTCTAAATGCATATTTGTTCGGTACTCTCAAAGAGTTAAAGACAACGGTAAACGCTCTCTGATCGATCTCCTCTGCTTCATGTTGTTTGTAACATTGATTCAAATGTTCATTTTCTTTTACGCGTTTTAACAGGCGTGACTTGAGTTTTTTGACCCCCAATGTTCACACCCATTCTTGTGAGTACATTTCCGCTAAATGATACGTGACAGCAACAACTTGACGGAAGTCGAAATGTGTCGTCAACCAAATTGCCATCTTCCGTTATTGACTTAAGTTGTCTGTAAACGTATCTTTGTCGACAAGTTGTCTTATAACCCTCGGCAAGACCTCCGATTGCGCTACAACTTGCGTTCTCTTGCCTGCAAATGTTATAGAAATTTTATAATTAAACATTTCACGGTGTTTGCTACTCTTTGTACTTTTTTTTTAAGACACTTTTTTGTTAAGACACTTACATACACGTTTCAACGCGTACACCCTGTTTAAAGTTTTCTTGATTTGCTACGAATTTCCATTCCTTATTTTTATTTTGCGCTGACTGAGGAAATATAACGTGTTCCTGAAACGACAAATAATTTCAAATTAGATCGAGATTCATTTTTAAAAAAAGAATCATTTTTCAGAATTTATATCTACCGAGGAAGTGCAGAGGGGTATATCATCCATTTGACCTATCCTCTCTTCTACAGGTGATAAATCGATCTGTATGCAAATAGTGAAAGTTATAGTTAATTCGAAACAATTAAATAACTCAATTAAAAAACATAATACTTACTACATCTACACTTTCCAAGTATTTAATACTTTCGTTTCGTTGAATCGCTCGATTTACTAAGTCTGCCGGGTAAGAAGACACCGTTTCACAGTACGTGGAATTCTTACAAGCTGGCACCCGTTTTATATCTTCGGGAAACACGAACTTAATCTCTGCCTGCGACGTTCGTCGCGATGAACGTTCTAATTAAAAACAAGCAATTTCATATTTTTTAAAAATTGTAGATAACATTGTCAACAAAATTACTTGCAAATTATTATTATTAAAAGTATTATTTATTACATAAGTACACTTATAAACTTGGATTGTTAATAAGTCAAACGTACGTTCATTACCATAACTTGAAGCTTCCCTACGAAATCTTCTTTCGGTGCTAAGCTCTTCATCACTTTCAATAATTTCTTCAAGTATTTCTCTGTCGTTAGAAAATTGCTCGATTCGTCTTTCGTTCTGATTCACCCGATATGGATAAGCAAGAATACATTGTGCTGCCTAAAAGAAAGAAATAATAAAAATATAGTACACTATAATGCACATGATCCAATGTTCTTCGAAAAGGAATAAAAGAGTTTAATGTTTTTTGGAAAGTAATCATATTCCGTTAGGAAATAATGTCCCGACTACGTGAACAGATTTACGAAATTATTTTTATACATCATGGTTGTTCAAATCGTTTTTGAATCCGTTCCGATCATTATCAGATCCGCTGTCATGCACGTAACTTCTATTTATTCTTACTCTGTATTTGAATAACGAGTTTGACGAATTAAGAAATCTTTTCCATAGGACTTCCCCGAGTTTATTACTCGTTTATTCCTTTCTGTATTCATTGCAGGTATTATTCGAGATGTTGGGCTACGATAAGCGTGAATGTTATTTTAATCGATGGTAGTTAAAGTATGGTCAGGTTTTCTCGGTAAAAAAGTATTTTTAAAATATTAATAGAACTCGTATTATCATAATATTATTGTCATTACTTATTATAATAAAAGGATATATTAAAAAGATCAAGATTCAAATCATTATTATTCGTGAACCGCCCATTAATTTTCACGATTTAAAATATGCTATTTTTAATATGCATATCGGGGACATTATCATAATTGAAAAGTCAACTTTTATTGTTTCGAAAAAGGTTATCCGACCGGACGATTAAACATTGAAATGAAATGGCATTATAAGTATATACAGGTGTTGTTTGTCTTCAGATTTAAGCAGAAAGAAAAATATGATGTTTCTTCAAACTAATCTCTTGTTATTTCATCTTTCGTATTTTCCAAAAAATTGCAACGTAACATTGTAAACGAACAAATTAATTTGCGGATTTAATTTTATTACATGCGACAACCGGAATCAGAGATTGCGAGAATGTGCACCGATGAGAGCATCAATTATAAGATATAAACAATTAGAGACTTTAGAATCTTGAGATTAAATGTAAGAATTTTGTGAAAAGACTAAAAGTCACACATTGATCTTAAAAGTAAAAAAAGTTAGATGCAAGGTAACTGTTTCTATTGCCTAGGTTCATCGACTTTATCATAATGCATTAAAATCGATTATCGTACCTAATACAAGATACATGTGTACTGTTTCATGACGATAACAAATCTCTCAGGTTACGTAAATACGATTGGGTTGTCCGCTAATTTCAGACTTCGTTTACGATGCATACGACGTTCGAAGAAGCATCACACTACCGGTACGTGATGATTACATTCTCAATATAAATATCTCTTTTATCACTGTAATTCTCAATCTATACATTGCAAGGTTTTCATTTCTTCTCTTTTTACGTGTTATTTATTCCCCTTTTACGTGAAAGCTTTCTTGCAATGCAGTATCAATTTCAGAATTTTTGTACCTTGAAATCTTAACATTTTTGCATTTTGTAACTTTAAGACTTTCAATCATAGAAACTGTATATTAATGATTCAATTTTTAACACGGCATATTAACACACAATCAACCAATTATGAACACCGTTAGTGATCCTAACAAAAGATATCACGAAAAGAAATCACATTATCTTACCAGCACTAAAATGCAAAGCTTCAGAAATGTTACAATCAGATTGTCGTATCCTCGTCGCATTTTTCTCACATTTAATATTACTTCTTACTACATACGCACACATATAAATACGCATATACACACACAGGCACAAGCACTACTTTTCAGTTCTGTTTATTGCTGTTTGTTACAATTACACGTCTTTTTTAAATTGAAAATATTACAATGTGTTGCTTGTTTAAAATCCGAGACTTCGAAAATGATCGTTAACAAAGAATTGACACGTAATATTACTGAATTACAAGTATGTGGAGACTCGGTTCGGTGACGGTTCGTTACACGAACCTGTACGTTCGACCGATCGTACGCGATTGACCTGTTCCTGCGTACCAGCAGAGGTATATATTCATCACATTAACGGCCCGTAATCGTGGGCTTAGTATCCCAGGGGACGGAGTAGGAGGATCCCACATTGCACCGCTGATTTATATACAGGAACATGATACGACGGAATGGACAGATTAAAGTTAAAGGACAGATGTATGATTGCTATAATATCATTGTATCGTATTTTGCATTTGTGCATTGGCGCAACTAAAACTTTGGTTAGGGATGAACAAGATACGCCGGTTTTATTTATAATCATATATGATCCATATCAGATATGATCAAGTTTTTAAAAATTTTTAAATATTAATATTTGATTCATCATATTTATATTAATAAAGCTAGCGCTATTAAAAACAACAAACTAACAATTATTGTTTTTATCAGTGTTGCAAAGATCGTGTGCACCCCTTGTATTCTACTGTTCCGAAGTTCGACTTTGTTTCCGAAGGATTGCAATTTTGGAAAGAAGGAAAAGGTAACTTCCTTATAAATACTTTAAACGTTACTTTGTTCAATATAAACGTTCCAATATGGTTCTGTACTCTGTACGCCTGACTCTTATAGTGCCTTCCATTGTTCTCCAAAAGAGTATTGTTCGAATCATGGAATTGGTTGACTAGTACTCGGAACTTTCCGAAAATAAAGAAAACAGGTATTAATAAGTGGTGGGAATTGTACGTCGCTGTCGATGAATACAGTTACCTGCCGATTACATTGTTGAGACGCATGACCGTAATTATGCAGGTGATAATTATTGCACTTCAGATATTCTTGTTCAGGTCAGAAAACAGCACTTCCTTGTTATATCGCGTAAACCAACATTATCGATAGTAGCGAGCTCATAAAATAGTACTACATTTTTTCTTGCATCGGTAATTAATTGCTTTTGTAATCGTAAATTATTTTAAATTTATTGCCACAATTTACTGCCACTGATTACACTAAATGTAATCTTAATTTTGTAGTTAAACTAGACTGGTAATTTTAATTAAAAAATTAAAAATTATTTATATTAACTTTTTAAGTAATGTATTGAAGAAATTTTCGAAAATTATTGATCGAATTTATTATAAATAAGTCTAAGTATCCAAATTTTCAAATTTTTCTATATGTACTGAAATGCGTGGTAGATCACGTAAATCGAATGTTATGCGCACAGTGTGTCAGATAGATAAATTCAAATTCTAGAAAAATGTCCGATATAAAGAGCGTTTTATCGTTATTATGTCAGCATGTGAATTTATCAACTAATGTTCTAATGAAACCAGAATATTTTAGACTGGCAAAATTTAATAATCCAGCCGAAAATATCGTGAGTGTTGTGCACAGTTTCGTATAACCTTTACGTAATATTTGGCACGTAAACATTCATCAGATAAAAACTTTTAATTCGGTAATTTGTATGTTTTAATAGGCCCAGGAATTCTGGAAAATATTAAATGTTTTAAGCTATCATATCGTGAAAGAACAACAGATCGAAATTGATTTCCAACATTGTGGTAAATTTCATTGATATTCCTTTCCAAATTACTTATTACAATAGTGTTTGTTTATGAGTTCAGTTTCTTTTTAGATATTGTATGGGCAACAAAACTGTATTTTGCATACTTACAATATCCAGCAATAGAATTTTATGCTTTAAGCAGAAATGGTAAAAATAACAGGCAATTATTATTGGCATTTGCATGGCTTCATGGAACACATAATGCTTTAAGTGTGATTGTTAGAATAAATTTATGTAATAGTGTGCTAGGAAGAGAATTTACACGCACGAACAGCTCAGAAGTAACTACATAAATAAGCATAAAGTAAACGAGGTTATAAGTTGAGAACTAAGTTTATAAACTTTTTGTATTTTAGAAAAAAGAAACAGAGTATGATATACCAGAGTCATTGAGCATGCAAATGAATAACATATTGTATTTAAATGGTAAAGTAAATTACAACATAAAAGAAATAGCTGAGTTAGTTTCTGAAAAAGTTAAACTTATAAGCAAAGCTCATGCTGCGAGTATTAATGTCAGTGGTTTACCACATCTTAGTGTATCAGAATTAGCACTAATAAAGCGTCTTTCTACAATTAATAAAAAGGCACCTTCTAATGAGGATAAAAAATATTTAAAAGAATTAAATGTTATTGGTAGTTTGTTAGATGTACACTTGAAATGGTTAAAAAAAGAACACATATTTTTTGAATGGATGGTAAATAATAAAAGTTTAATTTTATGCTTGTACATCATATATTAGGAATACAATGATAATAATAAAAATTGCAGGTAACCGTAGTTGAAGAGCACAATAAATCTTTGACTTCCAGTTTAGATGACATAAATTGGAATGAAATTTCAAAATTCATTTCTATATTACATAGTGTAACACAAGAAAAGTTTGAAAATCTATCTTCAAAGAAGGACTCTAATATTCTTGTAAACAGTCCTCCTACTTGTGTATCACGTTTACTAAGGATTCAAGATAATGACATAGAAATGGAAAATTGGTTAACAGAACTTTCTACCACCGTAAAGAAGGATATGGAAGATCTGTCTAAAAAGAAGGAAGAACTATCTAAGGAGTTAAAAGAAATTCTAAAATCAATGCCTTCTACCATCCAAGTTTCATTTTCATAAAAATATAAAAAAATATAAATTAAGATAATGTTTCAATCATGAAACAAACACATTGAACTTACAAGTATGTACAAGACATTTTAAAAATGTTCACACATTATTTCATAACTTATTTTCACTGGTATCCTCAGGGTGGTGCAATAGATACTTGATCGATAACACCAAATGATGATATGAAAACATTCAAAATTGTCACCAGAAATATACCAATTACTGTCCAGTTGTTAGCTATTTCAGCCTTACACATTTCACTTCTTCTCTTTACATTATACCTGCTGTTCCAAATCAGTCCTATACCCACAGCAATTTGCAATAACAAACTGGCAGCTATCATCACTAGTGAAGGGTAATAATATGGATGACCACCATCAGTCTGTAGAACATACCGCAATTGGTTTGCATTTGCAGACAGAAGAGCCAAATCCATCATCCCCTGAGCAAGTGTCTTTTTGTGCTGATAGATATTCACATCAGGTGTCGATTGAACAGGTGGCAGTGGGAAAAATGGATTGCTACTGCCTGAAACTGGAAACTCTGGAGCATTTGGTAAAAGCCCATCGTCCACTCCTGGATTAAACCCAATCGGTGGTTTCTCGTCCGGCCCAAGGTCATCAATTTCAGGCCCGGTAGTTGGTGGTGGATTGTTCGTGTTGTCCGTCTCCAGCATAGAACCAGAGCGTGGTCTAATTATTGCCTCCAGCTCATTAACAGCCAGTGGATGCGATATTTCATCGTTAACTTCGTCCATATAGATAATTTCATCGTTCTTCTCTTTGGGTTCAGCCATGGTTCATTGAATCACAGTTTATTGCACGTTGAAGTATCACATATACTTTTAATATTTTACAGATGGCACGTTGAATACACAAAGAGGAAAGTATGCAGCTCTAAAGATTGATTGTGGTCACTTATGTTATTCAAGAAGTATAGCTCTTTTTTGTTTTGCTTACTTTGTGATTCTTCCAACGAAGAAAAAAAGATAAAAGTAGACACGAATTGTGATTGCAGGAATAAAAGTCTGCGGTTTGGATTATCTACCCTTCTTGAATGTTAACGCGATACACTCGTTGTGCACGTCTCCTTTCTCTTCAAGACCGAGTTCATGTAGTCGCGTCGAACTGTCAGCGAGTTCAACTGAAACCGATCTGCTTGCTAGCTGCAAATCTATAGAATGCGAACTCTCATTCATTAAATGGGAACTAGCTGATTCATGTCGCTCTCGTGATGTCATGAGAGCGTCATGACTCCCGCTGAATAGTGGATTTACTTGTTGCTGTATACACTTGTGCCAAGGGTTTCGATGGCCTTAATTAATTATCCGATAACACTTTGTTTCTTTATGCAGCTTCACCCATGCAGAAATCTTTTAGAACTGTTTCACGATTCCGTGGAAATTGCAGCATTTTATACGGGAGTTACAGCGCAGACTGGAAATACCAATTTCACTTCAAACTTTTCTTTGTTGAAAGTAAATTTACGTGCGACTTATTATTTTCCAGCAGTAGTATAGAATGTATAAATAGTTTAAAATTAGAGAGGAATCAGTTTGAGTCCTCGAGTTGCATGCTACTACTGCCATGTGCTTAACCCCGGCCACCTTTCAAGACGTATTCTAATGCTTTCTGTCAAGGTTTCAAAACTGGGGGAAGGGGAATGGCATTACTCCAACGAAGCCTTGTAAGAACTGCTATATGCTATAAATAATATGTAACGGTTGTTCGCTGAATGAATCAAACAATGCAGTACATAATTTCGGTGGAACATGTAATCTCGGAATTATGGAACCTGAACATTTTTAAGCATTTCTAAGCTTTCGACACTTTAACAAATTATAATTAAGTAAGTTAAATATTATCATTATCGAAAATAGGTCTGGGAACTTATCTTATATCAATTAATTAAAAATAATATGAATATTCAATTCTTTAGTGATTATTAAAAATTTATGTTTCAGAATAAACACAACTATATTACATTTAATTTTATGCTACATATATTTAAAGTACGAAGAAGTTAAGGATAAACTAAATGCATTCTTTCTTCGTTTCAGCGAACAGCATTGTTCATAGAAGTACATGGACGAATTCCAAGATTGAATCTGTATTAGCGGGTTTTCCTCGGAAATATTATATTTGATATACTCGGAAGAAAACAATATCAGTTCAAATTTGAAATCCTGGGTAGACCAGGTAAAATAAAGTCAGTGTATTTTCCCAACGTCACGATGGTGATTCCAGATTCGAAACACGCTCTGTAATTCCGCTGCAGACACGCGAGTTTATTCATCGTTGTATTGTGTAACGATACGGAGAATCGTTAACTGCAGCAGAAAGTTTCCTCCTTTACAGATTCCTTGAAACTTGTTCCTTTCATTTTGTGCAGTGTGATAATAAAATTATCGCACTCACGCGTGGTAAAACATACTTTACGTACTGTATATTTTATCATTTATGAAAACGACTCGGAGATATCTGCATACAGTAACGATATCAATTACGTATAATTTGACATTTGATATTTTTGGAAGTTTCGGACTTGTTTACAAAGATAGTGCTCGTATGATGTAACTTTCTATAAATAGTTTGAAAGAAAGTATCTTTTTGTCTTCCCGTTACTCATTCTGGCACAACAACCACCCGTGACAGTTCACCTATACAAAACACCAAATTATCTGAGTAGATCCGAGCTGTCTCCGTATAGCTATGTAGAGCTACTACATTATCGAACTGTTCCGTCGTCAAGCAAACAACGATCCTCGACAACTCTGATTTCAGAAGCAAGACATTCCTACAGTATGCAAGTGAAATCAGAGGAACTTCCATTTATCAAACTTGTGAACCATCAAAGGGAGCATGAAAATTTATCCAAATGAACACTCAAAAGTGTTGTTCTCACTGTCCAGGAAAATTGGTCTCTCAAAGGACCAACGAGTTCCACGAATGTTGTCAGCCAAACTATGTTACCGGAAGTTTAAAAGTGTCCTCCCTGAAGAAACGCGTACCAGAACCTTTTAATAAAAAGAAGATGAAGAGAAGCACCCCGTCACCAGCTACTCAATGTTACGATCAGTTCGCTCTAGCGAAGAGGCTTCACGCTGAAAATCTGCAGCATCAACCTCTTCCCGACAAGGTTCACGACTCCGTCTTCAAGAACCCTGGTCTTTGTCGCCGACTGTCTTCAGGAAGATACTGCGAATGTTGCGAGGGATCTAAAAACGACTGTAAGAAGTTGAGCAAACGTTATGGACCAGTTCTAGGCTGCAAGGAGCCCAAGACGAAGATGGATCTCGCGATCTGCTGGGAGACCCCGGTGGACCCTGTCTACGAACCATCGAGACCCACTCACATCGACGGTTCGGAAGGTGGTCTGGCCCCAGCAATCTTCTCTCTGGTAGAACACGCGTCTAAGAGCACCGCAGAAATCCTTCGACCTAGGTCCACCAAGAATGAGGATGGTTCTAGCTGTCGCAGAGAAGAACGCGACTTAAATCCTCCCAGGAATGAACACGTAGATCAGATGAGGAAATGTTGTTGCGAGTGCCTGTGCAAAGGTTTAGATGGACTGCATATTTCTAAGAAGAGTGAAGGTGAACCGCATTCGAGGAGATCTTTCAGGAAGTGCTCAGCTTGCGAGTCGAAGAACAAAGACGATCCTAGGTTAATTAGGTCGGCTGTGGGACTGGCGTTGGGACTGGAGAAAAATGGAGATGGTCAGAAGAGGAATGATGGTAAAATTGTGGTACCAAGACCGAGGACTCCTTTTGCTAAGAGGTCGTTTTGTATAGATACCTTGGCGCCTCCGTTCAGTGTCGTGAACGGGTGCAGGGACGCTGATTATCCGGAACATTGGAGACTCATGTCGGTTTACCAGCAGTCTTATAAGAATCCGTATAGAAGGAGGAGTTACCGTTGTTAGATTATGAAAGTGATTGATCAAGGTTCAAGGCCATGATTTATCAAGGTTCTTCAAGGTAGATCAAGATTTATTTTACAAAACCTATTCTGAAAAATAACATTCATCTTAATAACATTAAGATTGCCATCACATTTTACTCGGAGTAATGTTTCGCTTGCTCTTGATGCTGCTTATGTTAATATATTGTGGCATGACGGACGTTTCTAGATTCGACGCTTCGTCAAGAGTAAGGGTGTACTTCAGATGTTCAAAGGCCACGTTCTGCAAACGATTGAGTAGGTCCGGATACGGCGATATGAATCGACGGAAATCATCTCGATGCAATAAGCAGATCTCGCAGGTCTCCACCGCGATAACTGTAGCGATTCTATGCTCGCTTTCCATCACCAGAGCGATTTCACCGAAGTAAGTACCGTCCTCCAAGTGACAAACCTTTCGAATTTCATTTAAGGAACCCAACGATTGAGAAACAGGAAATTGGTCGACGAGGTTTGTCGAGAATAATAATATCTATGTTACTTCTTTGCCCGTAGAGTTGTAGACTGCCACGGTGCCGGAAGAAATAAAGTACAAAGCCTCGCCACGCGTGCCAGCTTTAACGATTTCGTCGCCCGTCATGAAAATCTCGGAACGCAGTGCGCCGGTTAATTGTGCCATCACAGATTTCGGTAAATGATTAAATAGTTTCACGCTGCTGATCAGCCTCAAGTAATTATGCAGAATCAGTTCCTGGAAAAAGAATTGTTTTTCCTGTTAGAATGTCCGATTAGAATGTAGATATACTGCTGTACATATACGACAAAAATAGTCTACGTTATATTATAGCTTTCGTGGAATGTATTATAAATTGTTAAACCTCTCGCAAATAAGGTGAAACTTCGTTTATAATCTTTTTGTCCCTCTCGAAACCCCTCTTGTTACGATAGTGGTAAAATATTAATAAACGACGTTGCAAAAAGTACGGCAACTCCTTGTATCGCATGTATTCCTGCAACTGTTGTATTATCTTCAAATGACGCTTGATAGTTATATGAAACGTTGTAAGTAGTTGAAAGAACTGTGCTACGAAATGTTATTTGTTAGTTAAATATCTTAGAAAGATATCTAAAAAATTTAATTCTTATTCTATAATGTGGAATAAATATTTACTTAATAAATATATAATGCCAATGAATCCTAGAACTGTTAATATCAAGTTCAATATAATGTCTTCCCTCGTTTGCATGGTCGAATAATGAGTAGAGCGAACCATTGCGATAATTGCACGGTTCAGACATACCAAGTACTTCTTCACCGTCGTCGATTTCTTTATAAAATCCTGCGATCTAATCCAGGACCTGAATAATAAAAATCAAATGAAGTTGCTATCACGGGCTTCTACAAGAATTATAGTCGACTTACTTATCGCTTAGCGTGCCTAACTTTTCGACAGAAAGAGGGACATAATATTCCATACAAGCGGCCCAATGAACGCCTATTGTAACAACTATAGCCGTTTCTAGAATTTTATACACCTGGAAGCTTATTCTGTACACCTGAAATCATGAGCTCATTGCAATTCGTAAGATTTCTATCTTGTATCCTCTGTTTCTAACATTTGTTCTTATCTAATTTTTGGTTATAATCGTAGCGAACTAACGTCGTGAAGACGTCGAAAATAAACGATGATATTACGGACACGCAGGATCTTCATCATGTTGAACGTGGAACAATACCATACTGCGCTGGGTATAAGAAGATCAAATACTCCTATAGGTAATACTGTCAGAATATCTACCACGAAGAACCATCTTAAATATTTTCTGAAACAGCAAGAAATTTTAAATATTTTAGCGGTAAACTCTTAGCGGTAGGGTTTTCATAATTAATCATTGTTATGACTTCATTGGAAGCCATATAACGAGACTATATTTTAAACACACGCATAGCCACGCAATTAGTATTGGTGATCAAATTACCGTGATACTATTCTAGGATCAAGAACTACAGCTTTTGTCCCATAGTCGTAGTAACCCGTGAAGAACCACATTATTATATCGCATACGAATACTATGTTCATCGTGTCAGTAGGCAGATGCCACTGCTTGTATTTCTCGAAATAAAACGTGATGGAGAATGGAGTGATTAAAAGGGCGATAAACGTGAACAGCGTCATGAAGGATTCCCAGACGATTCTGTGTAAAGTAAACAAAAATTACAAATGGCTCATAATTCTGAGAATTCAATTTTCGTACAGAATAACATTCGATAAAAGTTAAAATTCACCTGAATGAACTGAAAGGATGTATCATGTAGGGGTGGGATTTCAAATGTCTAGAAATTTCATAATTTACCGCAGTTGTACTTTTTAAGCATAAACGCGCCAAAGGATGCTTTGGACATACAATTCTTTGCCTCAAAAACCAACGCTGCAACTTTGACCAAAGTGTATCCCCTTTTATTTGATCCATTAACTCGTCCCGTGCTATTGGCTGCTTACACTTGTGCTCGATCATTGGAACACGCTGCACGATATAAAAATCGATTTATATTTTGTCACTTTCTATTTGCAAATCGATATTATTTAAACTTGGAATTTAGGGCTATATATATAAAGTTAGTTTTGCTATCAAGTATTAACAATAGATAAATTTACCTCTGCACTTGGCGCTTCTGAAAAATGTGGTACATAAGCCATTAAATCCATTTTAGCGGCTTGTTTTGATGGATCAGCTGATCGATAGATCTGTCATCAGTGATGTAACAACATTATCGTTATGTCTGTACAATCACGTAATAAATAAACCATGTGGAAAGTGATGTATATTTTTTTCTCTAAATGTTATCTTGATAACATGTGATATGATATATTTATCAGTAGAATAATAATAACACGTCTGATTTCTTGTGAAATGTCAAAATATGACGCGATTAAACGAAGGGACAAACAATAAAGAAAGAAATTTAATTGCGTTAATTATGTTTTTATAAGATTTAATTCGTACGATGAATTAGATAATAATTTAAAAATGTTATTTATATCTGCGGCGTAATTTTAGTATGCGCATAAAGCACGTGACTATCGTAGAAACAGTCGTAACCTACTTGAACAATGGTCCGATCATAGATTGGACATTTTAAGTGAATCCACGAATTTAAATTCCAAACTTATAACTAACTATAATTATAACATTCGATAAAATAAGATTCTGCTACGCTATTTTGATATATTCTTAGTATGGCGCTAACGTTTGATAACAAAGATCGTACAAGTAACATGACAGAAACTGACAGTTTTCAGTTACCAATAGATGTGAGTTTTTTTTCGTTGTTATTTTTCATATCTGACTAGTTTTTTGTTAATGTTACAGTACTTTGCCTATACTTTTAACTGTATTAAAATGAATAAATGTATGGCAATCTTAAATGTTTTTAAAATTTTTTTTTACAAAAAGTTAATGTATTTATGATTTGCCAAATTCTTAGACATAGATCATTGACAGAATACTATTTGTTTTTGTCAGAAATATTTTGAAAAACAAAAAGTCATTAACTATATAATGTATTTTATGTGTAGGTAATTATACATATATTATCATATCTATCTACGTCAGATCGGATGTCTGCAGGACTAGTCAATCATGCATGGCGTGAAGCATCTCTTGCAATGAAGTTTGTGGATCAAGAAGTATTAGAGTTGGGTCGACCGTGTACAGATAATTTGAACCAAGTGATGGAGATATTGCAATCTTCTACACGACCATTCTATCACTTTGTTTTTAAAGAAGTGGAACTGAAAAGAAATATGCCGATTTGGGACCAGTATGGACCCACTATGAAAAGTCTTGTATTGGTATTATTAATTTTTATTATCAATAAAAAACTACATTATCAGATATTTATGTTTCTTAATTTATATATATTCATTTTCAGTTTTTTTGTGATTTAAGTGAAAAAGCACTCGTAGAAATATTTAAATGCTGCACTTCTTTAAAAATATTACGTATACATGCTTGTCGAGAATGTCTGATGTCTGGCAGACTTTTAGAGGATGAAAATGATGTGAAAGAACTTTCAGAAACGTTTAAAAATCTTCAAGAGCTTAGTCTTGGATATAATCGCGAATTGAGTGATGCTCTATTTAACAGACTTGTTGCTACCTGTCCAAATATAGAATCTTTAAGTCTCATGGGATGTCAAATATCTTTCCATTGTGGATTGTATAAAAAATTTTACCCTCAAAACATGTTACCTGATGCATCGCAATCAGTTCTAACATTTTTAAATGTGTTACATTACATCAGACAACAGGCATACAAATTGCAACGTTTAAGTTTGGGGTTCACATTAATCGATGGGACTGCATTGGCTACTTTGTCTGCTTTGGAAGGTTTAAAGCTTGAATCCTTAATGCTTCAAGGTTGTTATCAATTAACTGTTCAAGGAATCAAAGGACTGACTCAGTATCAGACTTACTTAAAAGTTCTTGACATTAGTTTTTGTGTGCGTATCACGGATGCTAGTCTACTTCATATCTGCAATAATTTGACAAAATTAGAAACACTCCGCATAAAAAGATGCCGCGCGGTAACCGACAGTGGGGTGAATTATATCCGGTTACTGAAAAACTTAAAAGAACTTGATATATCAGAAAATGAATTGCTTACTGGAAACTGCATTACATATGGAATTTGTTATAATTCAAATGATGAGGATATTCTAGAAAGGGTACCTGATGCAGAGGCAAATAATAGCTCTGAAAATGTTAAATTTGATGCAGTGGAAAAGACTGTACAAAAAAAAACATTACAAATGTTTTCAGCAAATGCATTAAATCTTCACGAAGAATCTATTGAATGTATATCTAAATGTTTCCCAAATTTAAAATTACTTGAACTTAATTATTGCTTTAGTGGTGTCACAAATAAAACAATTCAGGTGAGTGAAGATACCATTAATCTTTGCTTGGGTGTCATTAATATATCTTATATAAAAGAAATTTGGTCACAATTAGAAAAAATTTTTACAATATATACCTGATTATTTTCCTGAACTTTCAGGAATTACTAAAGCTTAAGAGAGTCGCTGTAAATCATAAGTTTATTTTTTATAGATGATATTCAAGGAGCTTGTACATTTGCAAACATTAAAAATAAGCCACTGTAATAAAGTCAGCGATGCCGGCTTAATGGGTATGGATGCTGGTAACAATGAATATGCTGAATCGGTTCAGGTTGTACATGAGCCAGAATTTACAGAATCCAGATTAAGAATCAGTTTACGATCAAGAGCCGAGGAAGAAATTGTACGCGATGCTAATCGCAAGCGAGAAGTAATGAAGCACTGTGAAAATGTTGTTAGGCCTGTAGATTCAAACGTATTTTCTGGTTTTTCTTTGAGTAGACTTAAATGCCTCAGAGAGCTTGATCTTTCTGGATGCAATAGAATTACAGATCTTAGTTTAAAACATGCATTTGCCTTTCCAGAATTGAAAATCTTGAATTTAAGTCAGTGCCAACAAGTAGGTATAAACCTGGTTCAACTATTCCATAAAATTAAAAGTATTTATTTTATATCAAACTTTTTTATACAGATAACACATGTGGGATTATATTTCTTATCTAAAAACAATCCAGTAATTGAAGATTTAAACTTAAATCAGTGTCACAATATATCAGATATTGGAATATCGTATCTTGCACAAAGGCTACACAGATTAAAACGGCTCATTATACAGGTATTTTTATGATTAAAAAACTAATAGCTGTGTGAAATTTATATTAATACATTTTCTTTACAGGAATGTTCCCAACTGACAGATCATACTCTTGATGCAATTAAATTGTATTGTAAAAGTCTTCATTATCTTGATACACGTTATTGTCGAGGAATGTCAGTGGCAGGGCTCGAAAGTTTAACACATTTGTATGTTGACTGGTTCAGACATATAGATCATATCGTCTCTTCAGAACATGAACTACCTCCACCACCTGCCCCGCCTTTACCTTCTTCTTTACGATAGAGACAACTTCAATACTACCTTTCGCATTTTAAGGACAGGGTAATGGAGAGCTAAAGTATTATTTTAGAAGTCATTTGTACATACATTACGTTTATAAGATTTAATTTAATAGGAGAAAAGACACGATAGTGATTTCTTTGTATCTCCTTTCCTAAAACGATTATAGGATTTCGTGAAAATGTGCGTGTAACGATAAATGAATTTATCATATTTGTAAGGTTACGAAAAAATCGAGCACAGAGCAAATAACTTTGATAAAATTTTTAATGTAACGATATTGAATATCGTTCACAAATTATACAAAGCTTAAAGCAACTATGTAGAAATGCTTATAACTATGTGTACTATACAGTAGAAGTCTAAAGAACTCTCATTTTGTATTATATTAGATATCTGACAACAGTTGTGATCTTTTGCTAATGCAATTGTTAGAAAAAATCGAAGATAATTAAACAAGTATGTTTGTAAAACATACAGCAACAATGTGATTTATAGCAAGTGCAATAAATGAGCCAATATATAATTGAAAAAATAAACAATTTTTAATTAGTTTTTAGACTATTATTAAATACTTTACAAATTTTATTCTGCTCTACGTTACAATGCAATGATTCATATTGTAAAATTCTGTATATATTTAAAGATTATCTCTGCATTTGACATTTACAATATAGTTAATAGCAAAAATGAAAATTAAAAATTTATGAAAATATGCAAATTAAGTTAAAAAATTAACAAATTATTTTTTATAGAAAACAGTTAAAATTAAAAATAATGAAAAAACTATTCAAACTTTTGTACATGGATTAATTCCACGCATAAAGTACAAAATTATGTTAGTTGTACCATTAAAATTCGTATCAGAGTATTTTTGTCAAAATACTGCCATTATTAGAGAAACAGAGTAAAATAAATATAACTTAACAATTATTTCACTGATAATGTCAGATGTGCTGCACGAAAACTTATAAAATATATTATAGCTAAATAATAATATCATTTAAAACTAAATATTTCTTTTGATAAATTACTAAATATATTGAAACAGATTACATATTTCATTAATTTCCTTTCAAAAATATAACATTCTCGAATTACGTATCGTTATCAAATATTTATTTGTGATGTACATACTTGTGTAAGGATAAACAACTTAAAGTAGGATATATAATAAGATTATATAAACAATGATCTAAATTTTATTCAAAAACAAACAAATTTAACAGTACTTTTAATGATAGTTAAAAATCTATTTGTATCGAATAATGTAGTGTCCACAAAGCCCGTACTTTTTAAAGATATCATCACGTATTTTGACAGAATAAAGTCAATTTCTCTTTGTAACGTGGTAAAATAAGAATATGGGTTTCAGATTTTTAAGATAGATGTAAATTAATAAAGGTAGCGAACCTCCTTTCAGTATTCTTCTTCAATGATATTTTACGTTTTATCTTCTAATTTTTTTATAAGTGCTATTTTATAATTAGTAGCAAAACACGCAATTTACAATCAGTGATCGTGAATTCTTGTTCATTCATTATTCGCTCGAACTTAATTCGAATCATTTTTGTACAAAATTCTTAATGTATCACAAAATCTGATATCTACAAGCAGTGTAGTATCAACTATACTTTTTTTTTGTACAAGATACATTATTTTGATTTTGTTGCAATCTAACTTGTGATGTGGTCTTCTATGAGCAAGTAAAAAACTAGATATGCCAATATGAAACTACTACTTTGAAATATTTAATTAATTTAAAAATGAAGTTATGCGAGGAAGTCATTTTATCAATTATTATTTTTCAATATTCTCAGAAAAGATAGTCCATAGAAGGCCCAATAACAGTTTGTTATAATAAACATTGAGGACAAAAAAGTTTTCTAAAATCTTTACATTCTATGCTTTAAATTAATGATAGACACTTAGTAGTTAGGCAATAAAATTAATGTTAATACAGAGATAAGTAATATAAATATAAGTTGGTTAAATCTATGAAACTATTAAGTGTGTTGAAATTAATTTCAAAATGGAAAAGAAAGTAAATTATATATGAACTGTATGGTTGACACTTCACTGTATATGGAATTGTATAACGTATACTAAGTTTTCTATGAATGTAATACATTGTCTTGGCAAATGAATATAAAAAGAATCTACTTATTACTAAATTAAAATAACAGTTTAACGTGACAAAGACACAATGTACCATTCTGATTATATTATCTTCTGATGTACACAAACTCAAATTGCCAATTTATATATTAAGGTTCAAGACTAAGATTCCAGTGTTTAATGCATGATCAGAACTGATATTTTTATTTAACTATCTACTGCAAAAAAATAAGTAATTAAAGAAACGCATAGCTTTTATCTTATAATTAAAATAAAAATAATATTAATCCCTTCTTTTTTACAAGGCAGAAGCATTTACATATTAAATTTAAAGATAAATATTTGAATTATATAAATACTTTAAACACCCGCTATAAAATCTAAAATCGTCGCTTAACTTTTCCGTTAATTACGTCTTTTTAGTTAACTTTTGCTTCATATTTATAATATTCATTAAAGGAGTTTGTTGAGCGATGATATTAAAATACCGAGACATAACTACGTAAAATTAAATAAGAAATTACCCTTTATAGAAAAATGTTTTATGCAACATAAAGGCAGTGATAGTCCTTGACAAAGGACACTGAAATCTTAGTTTATACTATGATTTTTTTGTCTCCGTTTAACCTTATACCACAGCGAAAAAAATTGTTACGAAAAATACAATGAGAAACATTAAACAAATTTCTTATCCTTAACACGCTGTTCTGTATGTATATTTACATATATATTTATGTATTTTCTTGTACGCGTCGCATCATATTATTGATTTATACTTTAATAAATACTGTGCTTTACACACATCATGTAAAAAATTGTTATTTTTTAGGTGATTGAATGTTTTTACGGAACATCCACCGTCTCTCTTTATTGATGCGACAATCGTGCGTGATTATATACAAAGTAGTGAAAACGTATCAAAAAATCATTCCTCTCTCTATGTATATTACAGTTCAGTCTTATTATCTGGCTCTCATTTATTTGGCCCATTGAGCAAGTTACTCCTCATATGGATATTGAGAAACTTCAAATTTACAAATGTTTGGCGATAGGGCCTTAGCACTGTATGAAATAAGTTTTGTTTCACTATCCTTTTCCATAACTTCTTTTGCTCCTACAATCTCCTTCAGAGCCACATAGTAAGACTTTATTGGATACGTTTTCACTAAAACTACTCTTACAAGAGCTTGGAATACGTTCAGCACGTACTTCTTAATGAATGTGAAGATAAATGTCTCTTCCAATCTAGATAACACGTTTGGTTCATTATGTTGTAACCTTCCTCTTCAAGGAATTTTAAGTAAACCTCTGTGCACACTTTAACTCAATTTCCCTTTCCATATACTAAATCTTTTTCACAGGGTTCATAGCATCATACCGCTAATTAAAACGTAGACATTACCAACGAGGTAATTATAAATCCAGCAGTCTTTCCTCCAAGGCTAAAATGAAAAAACAATTATATATACATATATATATTTATGACTCTTCTTATCCAAACACCTATTCTGATAGGTGTTAACGTAGTCATTTTTACTTGTATGGTAGATATTGAAAAAGTGTAATACCTCAATGGCAAAGTAATGATGCTTCTCTATAAATTTTCCTAAGTTCATTCTAAAGTATAGCTAATTTGTACTTTGTTTTCAGTACATTAGTTTAATAAAGAATAATTTTGTTAAATTAAATACGAATTAATAAAAGCAATAAAAAACTCATATTGTTAGTTCAAAAATAAAAAATCTATGCATAATTATATATTTTGTAAATAGAAAAAGTTGTTCTGTATAATACGGTTAAAATATGGCATATTAATTGCATCAATGAGAAATGAAATAATTTTATGATAATTTTTTAATGATCAAATCAACTGTTGATACTTTGATTTTAACAAAATATATATATATATTCGTACTTTTTGATAGTCGGCATTAAATTTTATATTAAAGCTTGTAGATCAAACAAAGTAATTAATAAATAAGAAACTTACATCTATTTATGCATACAATCACTGTACATTCAGGTGACCAGTAATATAAAAAGAATGAAATAATTTGTATGTATTTATTTTAGAACCATTCATTTGAGGCGTTTGTATAAATATAATCATTTTTAAATTTAATGGTCTTCAGAATAAAATAAACGAATGGAAGTTCTTTTTAGTAGTTCAGAACTTCTGTAGGAAACAAACTGTTTCAAATATACATTTTCTAACATAGAAAACAAAATACGTGATACATTGTGTACTAGAATAAAACTACACAATTTTTCTATAAAATCAAAATAATGAAATATTTATATTTAAGACAGTCGTAGAGGATTTAACGTAAATTTTATAAGTTATTACAATATTGCGACAACTTTGGTATGTATTTACAAATAAAAGAGAAAAGTAAATAATTGCTTTTTGTACAATGAGATATTTACAGATATACGAATATCGCTTATCGTTTTAAAAGAACGTCAAGCGTACAGATTCACTTTTATCATAAAAAATATAAAATTATTGTTCTAGCATTTCTTCCTTATTTCTGTACAATATCTTGATCTACAAGAACACCGGAGGTCTTAATGGAAATTTAATTGTATCAAATATCCATATACAATGATTCTTCTTTTTCAGAAGAATTTAATACAAAAAATACGAATTTCGTATATACTTTTCAAAAATTATTTACGTAGATGAAATTTGAGTAAAGAGAATACTCAAATCCCAAGTAAATACATAATGAGATCGTCAAAAATTACAAATAACAAGCGATACTTTTTTAACAATCTTCGATCAGCGTTTCAGCAATATTCGTTTAAAAAAGAAAACAACAAGTTTATAAATTTGCGAAGTGAATCAATAAATAAATAACATTTTATTTTTTAGTTATTTTACCGATACTTGTACTATAGCGCAGTCTCGCTATATGGCACCCATTTATATGATCCATTAAAAGAATTATGTCCCCTTTTTTTCATCTATCACCTTTTCAAATATTGAGCTTGCAAATTTCCAAAATTGACAAATATTCAAATGAATGAATTTTGAAGTTTTCAAGTTTGAAAATTTAGAATTCCCGAATTATACAGTCGGTTTATTGGTCAAATGCTGTATGAAAGGAGTTTCGTTTATATGGTCCGTTCGACACATTTTTCTACTTCAATAATCGTGTCTAAGGCCATATAACGAGACACCACCATAAATACTGTAAACAGAATACGAATCAGAATAACATTAATTCGTAAAAAGAAGGAAATACTGTAGCAATTAAATCTGATCAGTCTTTATAGCAGCAAATCCAGAGGATTTTATGCGCCCTGGAAGTATTTAGTTTTTATGTCTTCCATAAATGGACGGGATCATTTGATCGATCGCATATATCGAGACCGCATTCTCCTTCGATATAGGTACTTTTGTCAGTACATTACAAGCTCGTTGCTTATTTGGTCATCAAAATACACCGAGACAGAGATAGAGAGCATGCTCGTGATGATCCATTGAGAATAAAACATACTGAAACCAAAGCATTGGAGGCAACAGTGATCTGAACCTGCAAAAAAATCTATCCTAAGACTATTTCCTTTTTTGGAAAGAGATTGAACCTCGGAGAAGGACAATCCAGATGAAATAATAAAATCGTCAATGATAATACATCAACTAATTATCTTCTTGAAAGGTATACATTTTTATCGCAATCCAAGAACCATGACTACTTAATATAATAACAAAAAGAAAGAGTGCACATTAATGTTATGAAAAGCTTGTTTTCTGTTTCACGGCAGTACTTTTGGTTTAGCAAAAACGATTGATCGGTCATTAAATCTAACGTAAGGTCGTAGAACTCACCATAGGAATGAGACTTTATGATGAACTGTTTACATTAATTGATAAAGAATCGAGAAGCGAAGCTTTGCTATCCTCCAGATCCAGAGGATCCGAATTATAAAGACTTGTTGTAGCTGTATCACCTGTTGCACTGGTTACAGGAGATGTAGTGTTCAAAAAAATATCATCGTCGAAGTCTAATAGGTTCTGTGCAGGATTGTATGCCATAAGCTCTCCACCAGCTGATCCATTGATATTTTCGGAAACTGAAAAGAAAACAGTTCTCTTAGCAATAAATAAAGATATCAAGGGAAAAGATAGAGATATTAGGATTGGAAAAACTATGAATCAAAAGGTATAGAGATTCAGGGTGTTAGAAACATAATAGATCTTACCATTAACATGATCATCGTCTTCCTTTTCAGAATGTGGATTTAATTCAGGATTAACAGGCATACCGAATGACATTGGATCATCCGCTCCAAATAACTGTAAATTTTTGATTATGTAATAAATGCAAAATTTTGTACAAATGTTACCATAACACTTACCCCAAGAAGTGTATTCGCGTCGATACTGTATCCTTCAGCTCGTAGAATTTCGCGAAGGTTTTCCAATTCTGTTTGCATTGTTTCAAGATGATTATCCATTTCCTCCCTACAGACAATTATTCAAAGTAGATCATTATGTACAAAAAACTATAACTTATCCACACAACTTTATCCATATTTTATAGATGAACATGGAAAACGTAGCAAATAGTCCTTTCAATATTCATCCTGAAACGTACAATCTTTCTATTTGTTTAAATCGTAGCAAATTTGTTTCAGTTATATTGTCACTTTTTGTTGTTTCTTATGGAAAAAGTAAATAATTTACTATTGTATTTGATCCTGTTGTCTACATACTCAATCTTTTTTTATGTCCAAAGATAAATACTGACTTAATACAACAACGAATATATTACTTAAATGTTCAATGATAGGAGTTCTAAACATATCATAAAGGATCATGTACTTAAAGTGGGAACCCGTTTCCCTTCTTTACAATGACTCTACATGTAACAATAAATTACAACAACGTATTGATATGTTTAATAAAAAACCGATTGTAAATTAAACGACTGTACAGTCAGTGTATCTGAGAAATTGACAAGATTGAGATCGTGTTCTTAGCACTGTGTGCTATTAGCAAGATAACTGACAACGTTGCAGTAAACGATTTTAAAAATCAAATTCTATGTTGAAGAAAATGTTCAAACCAAATTGACCTTGGAAATCAGCGAAGACTAAATATTAAGAATAGTACCCAAATTTTTTAAGAGATTATGTAACTGAAGGGATATAATAACAGTTAAGATCATAAATATCAAATGTATATGTGAGTATTAGATAAAAATAGTATATCGCGTTTCAAAAATTTAACTTACAACTTCACTGATTACAGAGAAAAATTATTCTGAAGAAAATAAATAATACCAATATTTTGTTCATTTTAATACGTTAGATATTAAAAATTGAACGTATTTTATATTTATAAAAGTTGTTTTCATTCAGAATAAAATTGACTGAAATCAAGAAAAGTTGAATTCAAATTTTTGGAATTCTTTCTAAATTCATGTTAAGATCAATAAATTATTGTGATAATTTTGAAAATATTAAAAGAGTATACCAAACGATCCATATTCTTCAGGCTCTATGGAATATCGTGAAATTCCTAGATCAAAGGCAACCATTTAGAGATCTAATAACAAGATGTCACATATTATTAGTAAAATAATGAATCTATTAATTAAGGTTTGACTTAAAATCTCTCAAATTGTAATACAAATAGAGAAATTGGTTAATTCCCACCTCTGTTCTCTGATTAAGAATTTCCGTTACAGATAAGTGGAATGTGCTGTACTGAACATTTTCTACCCATGATCTGTATTGAACTTACATTGATCCTAACCTGTAACTAGAATCAGACATGCCAGAGGGAACGACGCAACTCAAAGATAAATGTTTTGAATTGCTTGTGCCCGCTCCGTTGCAGTTGACATTCTCCTTCTCCATACTTTTATCAACTTCATTTGTAACTGAATCTTTTTGAACATCCTGTTCAGTGTTACCATCTGCTTTATTGAACTGATTCAAGGTGTTCTCGTTCCCATTAACTCCAGAATTGCTGTTGTTCTCATTGTTATATTCCACATTTTCGTTGTCCACAACATCCTCGTCGACGATTTCTGGTACTATTAAAATATCCTCCAATTTCACCAAAGCAGAATCACTATCCTGAACATCTTCCTCCATATCAGCAGAAGTTTCTAAGTCGAGCTCTTGCTCTGCATCAGTTGTTTTATTCATATTAGCTGCCATAGCTGCAAGTTTTGAGCTACGCACTGTTGCCACAGGTACTGGTTTAGAGACTGGTTTATTTTCCAATAAAGCAATGGTCACTGGGGAATCTTCTAATGGCATTTCAAGTAAATGTGTTTCTTCCCTAAAAAAGTGAGACAAGCAGTTGCCAATCTTCGTTATCTTGAGTTAGATCATTGCTGTGCCATAATCTGTTTTTTAACCACATTCTTCACTACGATTTTGATCGATGGAAGTATTGCAAGAGCATACATAGATAAATTTAAAGCACTATACAAGAACATGCCTTGAAATATATAGTGAAATTACTCTTGTTATAACGTTAACAAATTTAGAAAATGTGATAATACAAATTCTTATAAGCAAGCAACAAATTGAAAAAGAAAATATAGTGGGATTATGCACATGTGTAAAACACATATTGATGGAACTTAAGAAAGTTAAAGAGTAACAAATACTTTTATGCTCATAAAATGAAATATTAATTAAATAAGTAGTCATTTCTAAGTTTGCTCTGACAAAACTTAATGTTAATAGTAACATTACTCATCAAAGATATTCATTACAAGCATATTCCTTTTTTATATTTCACTGTTCACGTTATTATTTCTAAACCTGAACACATTTTAACTTTTTAATGGTCAATTTAGTTTGATAGTCATAGACGCTATTTACAAATTATGCAACAAATATAAATTTATTACAAACACCATGTAAAAAGCAATAATCATGCATGGAATAAATTTTAAAGTATTTATAAAATATATCTTGTAACTAAACTCTATGATATAAGAAGTATATGTACGAATTTTATGCAGTAAATTAATATTTCATGCATGTTCGTTTTAATCTGTATCAGAAATATAAATGAAATTTGTAATATATTTTGATTAAAACAGATCAACTATATTAACAAAGAATATATATCAATAAACATACTCAGAGGCATAAGTGAAACATAAATTGTAAAGTAATAATGTTGGCTAATGTGAAATGAACGAGCGAATGAAAAAATTGTATGAAAAATAGTGTTTCAAATAATTATGAATAATTTAACCAAGGATTAACAAAACTTCTCTTATGAAAGTACCAAGTTACATGAACGAAATTTTCAATACTTTAACTTTCTTCTATAATCTATCTCAATACAGCAGAATTACAATTAACATAAAAATTTCAAAAGCAACTACTACAGATAGTTGGAAAGATGGGTAGATTAGGAGAAAGTCATCTTAGTAATAACTGTATAAATGAAAAATGCATCTAAAACAAGATATAGTTATCGCAATATTGCCGAATGTTCATGCAAAAAAATGAAACCAAGCAAAATTGCGATACTGTATAAAATAATCTTTAAAGAAGTATGAACACCAACACCAAATGACGACAAGAGAAAAATGTTAACCTCGGTTCCTCTCCATTCTCCGTTGATGGGATCAAAATTTTGACAGGCACCTTGTTTTTCCTCCTGGTAATATTTAAATTGCAATGATATGAGTATCACTGAGAACGAATTCGTATTAAAAAATATGAAAAAATTCCGTTTTCTGAATAAGTAGCTCATCATATGATAAATGTACGTGCAGCTTACTTTTAGTACCGACATAAAATAGGTGAAGTTACTTTAATATGACACAATTTAAAAGATATAAATTTATGCCCCTGTGTTTTTTTCATTAAAGCATAAATAGAGTTCAATTTTAATCACATTAAATTAATTATTTATTACATTCCATGCATGGGGAATAATTGGAATGTGTAAAGAAGTATGTTATAATTTGTTTCTTTTTAAAGCTATCCTAACCAGAGTGAAAGAAGCAAAATGAAAACACAAAAGTATTTCTTTGTAAAATAATTGAGTGTTCAAATTTCGTTGCGTTTGTCATGCAAAACTCCACATTATCATTCCAAAATGGAAAGATTGTACATGAACTAGCTGTATATATATTTTGTTTAAATTAGTAATTCTGCAATAAAAGTTGTGTTATGATAATTTACTTGAACTTACTTCTTTTTACCCTTATTTCCACGTTTCTTTTTTGCATCTATTTCTTGTGGATTAACCAGTCGTATATTATCTTGTAGTTGAAGAGAATTATCAACCAAATGTACAGTTTCTATATGGTTGTCTTCCATTATTGATGTATTGTTATGTTCTGGACTTTCAATTGATGGATTTGAATGTCCTTCTAACATCCTAAATATAAAGAAAAATGCTTATTACACATAATTTTCCCCGCAAATATATAAATGGTAATATACAATTTAAAAAGCAACATACTCTGCAACAATATACTCTGAATCTAAATCAGGTTCTGATGCATCAAGCTCATGAATTACAGGACCAGCAGGCGATGCTTCCGGCTAGAAATAAAATGTATTTTATTTATAACAAAAGTTTGTATTTAGAAACCACTTTGTAAAACGTAAAATTAGTACTTTTGATAATTTAGCTTGTTTGCTTCGTTGGCGGTTAGAATCATCAATCATTAATGGATATCTTCGTTTAACCGAGAGACCACCGCTTCTTGAGGGCTGAACTAAAGTAACTAGGAAATGTATAAGCTTGTTAACAATCTGCTGTTGTTTAAGATGCTTCTGTCTAAGCATTGCTAGCTCTCTCCATAATGCTTCATTCTCTCTTTTCATAGCTCCAAGTCTTGAATCTAAATGTTCCTGACGACCTCTCATACTTCTTACTTCAGTTAGCATCTTATTCATTAATTCTGGTTTGATGGGAGTAAGAGTTGGATCTTGTCCTTTACTTGATGCAATCTAAGCAAATTACACAATTATAAGTTGCTTGCATAGATATGTCTGATTCTTATAAAATTATTACTTACTTTTCTTTTAATATGTTCTACAAGATATGGATGTCCTTTACAAAAGAATTGATGCGCAAACTCCATCTCATCTCTATCGCATTTTAAACCTCCCAATTCCACAGAAACTTTCTTATGAAAACCATCTGTAATACATAAGTATGTTATATGTAATAACACATGCAATTATATTACATTAATTTATTGAGTGTTAAAGTTTATATCATTACTTACACATATTTAATTGACGAACAAAACTGGCCATATTATTGTGTTTATAGTAATGTGGTAATAATTCTCTGGCAAACTGTGCCTGATTTCGAATAAAAAAACTTCTTCCATTCTAAAATTAATAAATTCATAATTTTATGTATCAATATGAACCCTTCATGATAAAAACATGTTGCATCAGATAACAAATACTTTAAATGTAAGTATTGTATTATTATATAATAATATTAACTTTCATAAATCTCTATTTATTATGTATAATAAAACATTTCTATCGGAAATTCAAAAATGACAATGTTTTGTAATTAGTAAAATTAATTGAGCGCTTAGACGAATGAATATCTAGATAATCACATTATTGTAGCATTTATCAATACTTAAAATAATGAATGGTTTATCCTAATCTTAAACAACTTTACAATGTTTAATATTTTTTTCATTTGTTTTCATTTATAAGATCTCTTTATTAAAAAATTTACATATATTCTGCAAAATGCAAAGAAGTAATATAGAAACATATTACAAATATTAGTTAAAATAATACTTTGTTCGATATTTTATATCACAGAAACCCGTGATTATTATTAAAATAACGTGTACAAAATAGACTCCTGATATTTGACAGCAAAATATATGATTCATTAAAATAATGCATTACATGTAATGATACAAGTAAGCACGGAATAAATTACAGCAACGTCGAGTACATGCAAAATATAGGTTGTGTATGTAAAAATGTATACTACGGAGGTCAACGTTTAGCTAACGTTTGATTTGTTCGCTTGCACAACGTGAGTATTACGACTGAGTTATCGTTGTAATAGAAACAATTATTGAAGGTACATATTTGAATCATCGGCGTTTTGTATAGTAAAATTAAAAACCTACAAGTAAATAACAAAATAAAAGTACTTACGGGTGACCAACAAATAAGGTCGTCGGTTTCAGGATCTTCTACCAGCTTCCAAAGTTTGGCAAGAAAAGCCGGTACACTCGTACCTAACTCCGGAATTGTATGCATCTCAACGTGAACAATGTAATTTTAATATGTTATAATTGCTCAGTTTTTAAACTTAATCTTTCACGAAAAAATCTTCACATCTCACGACAATGGCTGGCCGCTGACGATGTTATTCTGCTACTACGAATGTGTGTATGTAGTACTTACAGGTGGAGGAAGAGGGGAAACTATACTCTGTTCAGCAAGAGATCATACTCATCATACGACGAGTTTTCAATCGTTCTGCGCACATCAGCTTTATGCGCAGCAGCAACCCACATGCGCACTTATGACATTCCTAATACTAAGCATATATACTCAGCGACATAAATTTCCAAATCCTCAAATTCCCAAATTCTCAAATTTTTAACTTCTCAAATATTCAGATATTTAAATTTTTTAATTCTCCAACTCACAAGTTTTTAAATTTTCAAATTTTAAATTTAACATGTTTCCAAATTTGGTCACGTCAGATGTCTTTTTCGGCCATCCATATACTTTGTCCACCTTGTAGATGACGACCAAAGTAGAAAACGCACGGTAGTGAGGCAACACCAAGTGGTGGGAAACTTATTGAAGTTAGTCGCGTTGCGCAGATTGAGTATGATCTTCTGTTGAACGAATAATACTTTAATGAACAAAAATGCCGCTTTCCATTTATGTCTGTGCGGCATATATACATCACTATTGGTTCAAAGCAATTGGTGCTTTCTTTCGGACCAGGGTATTTACCCAATTGGCATCCTATAAATTTGACAGAATTGTTAAGCTGTATTTCCAAATTACGAATATAGAAGGTCAAAAATATATTCGAATGCAGGAATGGTTTTTTAAAAAACGAATCAAACTGTATTGCATAATTTTATACTTCTTGCAACGTTTGTTTATTTCACAGGGATATAAAAATAGAATATGTGAATCATATGTAGAGTATACATAAATATATGAACGTAATATAGAAACAGAAAGAGAACGTTGCATAAAAGCTCTTTCTGTCCTTGTTTAATCACATGTGCGCACATATTCATTTGCCGATATTGTACAAGACTGAAAATTTTTACAGATGCATGTATAAAAAGCTCATAATTTATTACAAATATGATCCGACATTAAAAAATTAATGCTGCTTATAAGATATAAGAATATCAAGATACAAAATTATTTTTTAAGCGTTTATATTTATTTTTACACAAAAAATGATTAATACTGTAGCATATTTGTACATATTTTTTATATGCAATTTCATTAACAATATATTTTGCATTTATATAAAGTATATTAAAAATTAAAAATTAATATTATACTATTAACATTAATCATTATACAAAACAAAACTTATAATTATTAAAATGTTTAAGTTTTTGTTTTAACAAATTAACATATATACATAAAAATCTGTATAATTTACATAAAAAGTTAATAATTCTCTTCTTAACTAATTATAACAAAATATAATAAAGTTGCATAATATTCGTACACTGTATACAAACTTATCAAAATTAATATAAGTACATAACATCACATAATTTTTTGATTATTAATAGATTAACAATATTAATTTAAAATTATAACGACGTAACATAAAACCCTAAGTAGTCCAAACATGAATACATATAGTTGTTGTGGAATATGTATTAAATTATAATATTAATAGTTAACTAGTTCCTAAGTAACACTAAATGACCAAAACTTTAATTGTAAAGTATGATTTTCACTCATCTAATCATCAGTTGTAATAAATTATAAAGTAAATTATATTTATCTTTTTCCATGTCCAATTTACTGTGCATAAAGAATTAAAAAAAGAGGAATGCGTAAAAATATATAAAATATAATGAAAATTACATTTATAAGTAGCAAATACTTGAGAAATATTAATGGCACTTTGCATACTTTATGGATTATTTGCACTATTGTTTTGATTACAAATACATGTGAGAATACCTGCAGTAGTAGTCTTGCTTCATTAAAAATCAATTAAAATATAGTTACCTACAAAAAATCTTCTGTAGATGTTACTGTAGCTTCTATAAGTAAACCAAAATCTAATTCGGCTAAACTAGCTGAAACATGAAAGTTATGATTACAACCAGTTACAAAATTATTAATTTTAACATACCTTTTGCTGTAAGCAGATTAAGGAATGTATCTAATGGAGATAAACGATCTGCAGATGGAAATGCTGCTAAACCTGCACATAATTTTTTGTATGAGATATTATATTACGTTGCTTCTACAATTTATTCAATATTATTTTTACCATTGTGATGATTCTTTTGCTGTAATGTTCTTCCGCGATTTTGACACACTTCACCAGACAAAATATTAGCAGCGTGTTCACGAGCTCGTAACATGAAACTTACAGGGTGCAACCATTGGTTTAGAAGTCTTTTAGCTCGTGATCTCGGTAACAAAGACAGTAACGTTAGTTTACGTATAACATTTTCTTTTGTATCACTAATATCTGTAGAAAAAATAAGATAAATATGAAACAAAAATCACATACAGTTTAAAGAAATTTAAAGAATTTAAAGAAATACATGTACCAGCCATAATAATTTTACTGACATCGACTTGTAATTCAAATACTGATCGTTGTACATACTGTAAAAACATTGAATATTTTAAAGTCCTATATCCAAGGTACGTGAAAAATGATGTAAATCCTTGTGGTGCTGGAAATGCTATGCTTTCTATTGCACGTCTATATCGCTCTAATAATACAAATAACAACCACCGTCGTATTTCGTCCAATTGATCACTGAAAGTATAAATAATTTAAATTCAATTGCAATTTATTAATAATTTTATTCAAATAACTCAAAACTTACACGAGGATAAAACCACGTTCTTGTTCCATTCTCGGCTCCACACTGGCAGCTCGACATAACATTTGACAAAGGATTCGTGAAGTTTCCAATTGAGCTGCTACATATCTGGTTGCCATAGCATGAACATGCAGCGGAGTACACGATCCTTGAACATGCGTTATTGATGTTGGTGTACCATGTTTTAACAAGTACATAGATAATTCTCGTAAATTTACAGATACAATGTGTTCTTGTTTGGAAGCAGTACAACTTTCTGTTTCATTAAATGGCAAACCTGAATCAAGCAATTTACTGTTTCGACTACTTGTTAAATCTCCAAGTGATACTGTAGCTACAACTAATCTGCAATAATACGTGTTAAAATAAGTTAAGAACTTGTATAAATTAGTCTATACAAAGATTAGGTAATTTAATTAGTTCACATATCTGACAAAAAACATGCAACTTCTCAAATTGTTAACAAAGAAAGTAGTTAAATACAAAACAAAAAACGTTAATGTACATTGAAGAGATTTTTAATTATATAAGACAATATTACCCTCCACTTGGAGACATTGGAGTACTGGATCTGGATAGTGCTTCAGGCTGATAACATGCTAAAGAAACTAACAATTTCTCTGCAATTTTACTCGGTTTAAATCTTGCTTTATCTCCATTATTTTTACTTAGTTGATCCCATAATTTAGTCCATAAATCGCTACGATAAGGAATTAATCTTTGTTGAGGTGAAAGTAACATTACTGATGTATTCCAGAGTTTTTCATGACTCAATGTTATATTTAAATCATTCACTTTAATTTCAAAACTTGTATATTCTTCCATAGTTGTAACAGGTAACAATGCTAATAAAGGTACAGCATCTGCTAATAAATTCTTTTGTACTAAAGCATATGAACCACCAATAAGAATTTCTTGCATGTATCGCACAATTTCCAAGGATCTAGGTTTCTCTGCAATTGTGCATACTAATTCTGAAATAATATCCAGATCATTTCTATGACAAAGAAAATAATGCAGTATTCCCAAGCGTACTTCGATCGAAGTTTCTTTACGAAATACTTCAGTGAGAAAATCAGGAGAGATTGTTAATTGTACTAAATCCAACGTAGGTAAGTCTATTGTTAATATGTTGACATTAAAATTAGATGTATTATTTCCTTCCACAGAGGTTGAATCATATTTCTTTTTGCCTCCTTTATTGTTATTTTCAAGTTCAAGTAGTGGTACTAAATAAGAGCTATAAGATGGAAGAACAGTCAGAGGACCACATAATATATGGCAACATGGTTCATGATTTGTTCCAATTTCAAGAAGATGAGTAAATAAACCTTGCACAAGAACAATAATGTAATGATGTCCATATATAGCAAACGTCGGACGTATGAGTTTAGCCTGAGACCATGGTATGCCTGGTATTACACAATGGATTACACAACTATGATGAAGAAGCGTTACAGAGTATGCAAAGTGCACTGTGTTAGATTCACTCAACGAGTTAAGTACATGCTGTTGTGGTTTTACTGGACGATACAAATAGTGATGACAAACACAGACCATTCCTTTGGAATCAGAAATGACAATAAGATCTAAGGAGCAATCGTGTACTCTCAAAGGTATCACATCATCTTCATAAGTTCCACACTTAGAAGAAGTTGATAACTGAGGCAAATTTAGTGGTATGTTCAACTACAACAAAAAACAACATGTTTAAATACATTAAAATTATTATTATAGTGCTGTATGTTACATACCACTGTTTCATGTGGTAACTCAGTATGAAACTGAAGACCACTAAGTGTGGGATTAGTCCTCACAGATTTGTTCTCCTTTGTATCTTCATCTTCAGAAACTAAACTCACTGGAATTCGCCTATGATGTATATGATACAAAACTTGATTTATCATATCCCATTGTGCCCAAATAAATTCTTTAACCAATGACTCAGATTTTAATTCTTGTATCGTTTGAAAATCTGTTGTAGATGTATCAAACAATATGGTATATATTATAATACCTGTAAGAATGTACAATTAAATTTACAATAAATAATAAGAAAGAATATTGAAGAATAACTTTAGCAATTTCTCACATTCTTGATGTATTAACAATAAGAATTTGTCCCATTTCCCATGTTCTTTTTCTTTATACAAGAATTGAATTCGTACTTGCTTAGACCTTTTTGCATCTAAATTATGGATTTTCACTTCTTTTCCTTTTAATTCAATTATATATGCTTCGTACATCTCAATTTCAGTTGACATACTTTGATCTTTTTCTTCCTCAGATTCAACATTGTTGTCTGTACTAACTTTTTGTTTTATCACATATCCAAGAACAGTTTTACTCTGATTTATCGTTGCTTGCACAATGTTTAATACTTCTGAGAATTGGTGCAATACCTATGGGATGTTGTTAACAATTTTAGTTACATATATTCTATTGAAAAAGACAAATAAATATTTTCAAACATTGTACATACTTGTAGTTTGTCATTAATCCGGTCGTAATGGCCTATAACAGTATATGATGTGCTCACACCGTCTTCTATAATTTCCTCTGTCCACCCAACTAACAACGATCCATCTCTTTCCTGTCCTAACAATTTCCATTGTTCTGCTAAAAATTGAAATTTGATTTTATAAAAATTCACTTGCACTCGTTTAACAAATATCAATATAATAATACATTAGTAGTATGCAATCTCTTTAAAGTTTAATGACATTAATAAATATGTAATTCAAAACAAATTATAAATACCCGAATGCGCCTTTTCTGGTAAAAGTAAGCATAATTTAACAGCAAGATTTTCTAACATATCTCCTTATAAATTGCTCCTTATAAATAATGATTAAAGACACGTCGATCTAAAACATATGATCGTTTTTAGTTTAATGGTTATGATATATTATTTATAAATTTTTTGACAACATTAGATGGTATCGTCTGCTAGGGGTTTCACTCATGTTGACGGGATCATTGACGAAATGCCAAATAGTCCTCCATATGTAGTATATTTCTATGTTGCATTCTTCTGTACCGATTCAGAGTGAGATAACTGGCGGTCTGAAAAGTTTCCGACCTCAACGTGAAGATAGCACCACTCGTCGATAAAAGCTAGTGAATATAGTTACTGTAGAGTTACAGGGAGACTATGTAGAAAAATAACAAAAAATTTTATGAAAAAATGTCTTGTATCTTTGTTAGGTCGGAAACTTTTCAGACCACCCTCATATATGCTTCGAACCAAACATTTTCGTAAAAAAAAAAATGCAGAACAAATGAAATTACAATTTAATTCGTAGCTATTAGCTCGATATCGTTTTCTAAAGTTCATTTTTATAAAAATGTTTAGAAAACGATACCGATTACCAGGTCACACCACGTGGAGGTTGCTACGATAGTGACCCGCCCTAACTCCAAGTCCCTACCACCCTCCAATTGCAATACCTCATTTATCGGAAGGATAAATGAGTTCTGACTCTACTTAGCTCATAGGCTCGCACATACAAGTTCTTTACCACAAAATTGCAAAGAACTTGTACCACACGCACACACATACATTAACTTAATACTAATTGGATGGGGCCCCATACACATACGCTTAACTTATTCTAAACGCCGCACGGTACCTCTTATTCTAAGATTGCACTCGAATAATCGATGACGAATTCAAAAAGCAAAGGGAAGAAAGTTAGAAGAACTTTCTATTGAAAGCAAAGAAAGTTAGAAGAACTTTCTGACAAAAAGAAAAGAAAGTTAGAAGAACTTTCTGTGAAAAGAGGGAATCAGTATTTTTCGCCAAGTGAACCTCGCCTTCCATGGGTCAAAGGGTAGTCCATAGTGGCTTACGTGAACCACGAGACAGAGATGAACCGAAAATACTGGCAAGAACGAGTGACACATCCGCGGAGGGTCTCCCATTTCTCCCCGCTTGCGTTTGAAGCAAGTCTGACCGCAGAGAGGAGACCCCTGCCGTGAGGCGGCAGATCGAGATGGTTCATCAATCGATCGGCCCCGCAGAGATGTGTCCCTGGCGCTACACCAGCACTTGCAGCTCACCTCTGCCGCGTGTTCACAGCGCTATGAACCCCCAATGATCCACTTGGGTTCGGAACGATTGACAAAAAATAA